AGAGTATTTATTTATTGGATATATTTTCATAGGTTATCCAATAGCCAGCTTTTCATTGGACCCAAGTATTTGTCAGTCTGAAAAAGATGGAAAGCTCTCAACTCTTCCCTCCCCACCCACTGAAATTCTACTTCAAGGTATTAATGCTGTTTTATTTTCAAAAGGATTTATGACAACATCAAAATCAAATTAAAATTCTGGTATAACAGTGAGTTCATTGGCTCTCCTTTCATTCTGCCTCCTATTATAATTGTCTCCTTGTGTAGATACATAAATTGTGATCCAAAATGGCTTCAAGGTGCATTTTGAACCCTTAAATGATATATGAGGATGTCCCTCATCTCTCCTTGGATCAGCATCTCCACTGCAGCTCATTCTCTAGCTCATCTCCCCCCATGTATACCTGTATCTGCATGGAGGCCTTTTTTTTTCCCCTCAGCTCTTTGTGTGTTGTTTCTCGTCCTCAGGTTCCCACTAAAAAGTTGGTGCTCAGGGGAGGCTTTCTCTGACCATACTAACAAAGTGTCTTAGTCACCTTAATCTCTTACCTGAACCATTGCAATAGCTTCATAACTACTCTCCCTGTCTCCGGGTTCAGTCTTGAACTGCATCCCCACAGTCAATGATCATTTAAAATATAACTCAAATTTCTCAAAAACAAAAAGAACATAGAAATGCTCTATAGGTATTTGGAGAAAAAAAAAGTCAACATCAGTAATCATCGGGGAAATTCAAATCAAAACCACAATGAGATATCCTCTTGATTCAGTTAAGAATGGTTTCAATCAAAAAAAGTCAGGCTAACAAGTGTTGGTGAGGATGTGGATAAAGCAGACCCTCACACACTAACTCTGCTGATGGGATACAAATTAGTACAGCCATTGTGGAAAACAGTATGGAGTTTCCTCAAAAATTTAAGAAAAGAACTACCATATGATCCAGCAATCCTATTACTAGATACTTATCTAAAGGAAATGACATCCGTTTGTAGAAGAGACATGTGCACCCCAAGTTCATTGCATCACTCTTCACAAATAGCCAAGTATTGGAAACAACTTAAGTGTCCAACAACCAATGAATGCATAAAGAAAATCTGGCAGGTATTCACAAAGGAATACTATTAAGTCATAAGAAAGAATGCAGTCCTGTAATTTGTAACCACATGGATAAAACTGGAGACCATTATGCTAAGTTGTTACATTTTAAAAATTTGGTGTCTCCCTAAAGTTCATGTGTGAGAAAAGGTAAGAAATTTTATAGATGAAATGATTGGGCTAGGAAGGCTTAAACTAATCAATATGTTAATCCCCTGGTAGGGATTAACTAGACAGTAACTGTAGGCAGGTAGAGTATGGCTGGAGGAGGTGGATCAATTAGGTATCAGTCTCTTTCTTAGCTTCCTGGTACCAAGTCCCCAGTTGCTTTTCTTTGCTTCACACTTACACTATAATGCTCTCCCTTACCTCAGACCCTGAAGAGTGGAGCCAGCCATCCAGGGACTCTGACTACGCAAAGTGTGAGCCATCAAAAAAACATTTTCTCCTATAATTGTTCTTGTCAGGTCTTTTGGTCACAGTAGCAGAAAAACTGACTAAAAACATAAGTGAAATAAGCCAGGCACAGGAAGACAAATACTATATGGTCTCACCTATAGGTAGAAACGTAGAAAGTAGTTCTCATAGAAGCTAACAGTAGCATGGTTGTTACCAGAATCTGGGGAGAGTAGCAGGGGTGGTAGAGATGCCAACTTGATTAGCAAGGCACTAATTAACAGTTAAATAAGAACAAGAAATCCTTGTGGCTATCATACAGTAGGATGGCTAGAGACAAAGTAACATACTATACTTTTCAAAAACCTAGAAGAAAAGATTTTGAAATTTTTTACCATAAAGAAATGATAAGTGTTTAAGAAGTTAAATAGGACTAACCTGATTTGATTATATGTTTAACTTGATTCATTACACTATTTATACATGTATCAAAACATTACATGTTGCCCCATTAATAAATATATATATATACATATAATTTTAATTTTTAATGAATCAATAAAAACTAAATTTAGTATATAAAAAGAAAGAAAAATAATTCAAGGTAAGATGGTGATAGCTTTCAT